ATGTCATTGTTGCAAGCAGAGAACTGACACTTTGCAGGTGATGCCATTAACATTTCCTGGGCTTGTAATGCTAACTGGAAGCACTGCTCTGTCTGAAGCTTTGTTACTCAAATTAGACTTTGATCTTAGCTTTATTTAACTAACCTGATTCATCAGCCGGTTTCACTTCGTGGAAACCGTCTGACCTCGCAGTATTAGGATTCGTTCGCTCAAAGGTAGGTAGATATTTTTTTTAATTTAACCATCCATTTTTAATTTAACCATCCATCGTCTTCCGCTTATCCAGGACCCCCAGACAGGTCCTCCAGCTCCTCCGGGGGACCCCGAGGTGTTCCCAGGCCAGCCGAGAGACATAGTCCCTCCAGCGTGTCCTGGGTCTTCCCCGGGGCCTCCTCCCGGTGGGACATGCCCAGAACACCTCCCGAGGGAGGCGCCCAGGAGGCATCCGGAACAGATGCCCGAGCCACCTCAACTGGCTCCTCTCGACGTGGAGGAGCAGCAGCTCTACTCCGAGCTCCTCCCGTGTGACTGAGCTCCTCACCCTATCTCTAAGGGAGCGCCCAGACACCCTGCGGAGGAAACTCATTTCAAGCGCTTGTATCTGCGATGTCCTTTCGGTCATTACCCAGAGCTCATGACCATAGGTGAGAGTAGGAACGAAGACTGACGGTAATCGAGAGCTTTGCCTTTCGGTTCAGCTCCTCTTCACCATAATGGTCCGATACAGCGACCACATCACTGCAGACGCTGCACCAATCCGCCTGTCAATCTCACGCTCCGTCCTCCCCTCACTCGTGAACAAGACCCTGAGATACTTGAACTCCTCCACTTGAGGCAGGGACTCTCCACCCACCTGGAGAGGGCAAGCCACCTTTTTCCGGTCGAGAACCATGGCCTCGGACTTGGAAGAGCTGATCCTCATCCCTTTTGTCTGCGTTTGCCAATATGTGCATTGCGTCACCATCGCAACTCCTAAACATGCGGCCAATAGAGGTACATGTAGAACACCCCCGGCTTGATGTCACTGCAAAGTATCAACAATGTCAATCCAGCAGACGAATTATCTGGAAGTTGACAACATGTTTTTTTCCATTTTCATTTTTAATCAGCTCCTTTTGCAGCATTTTGATTTTCAAATTTTGCAGTTCAGAAAATGGGTACTTTGATTATTTTCACACTATTTTCTGTTACAATGTTGTTTCCTCATCAAAAACATACTTGGAGTTGTGTTTAGTTTGGTTCAGGAAGTGGCTCCACTGGGTTTATAAACTCCACACACCTTCACTAGAATCATTTGGATAATTTCAGCCCTGGAATTGCCAAACTCTACTTATCTAAAGGTAAAGGGTAGCTGTTAGAGAGAAAACTACCACTTCATGATATCGCAAGGTGGAACAGAGCATTTTGAGCTTCGGAGATGTAGACAGACTAATAATTAAGGAGTCAAACATGTGTGAATGAAACAAAACACAACCCTGGATATGTTTTTTGAGAAGATAACCATTTTCTGACAAAGCAAAAAGCTCACAACAGTTCATTTTGTGTCATACAGGATCTGTAATGTGGTGTTACAATTTGATCTATTTACTGTGCGTCCAGACAATTTTCAAGTGTTTAAATCAGAAATTAAAAAGTTTGTGAACCAGCAGTGACAGCTGACAGCAAAACTGGAGGGTTAAAATTTCAGGGTGAAATATTTCAGAGTTGTTTTTAACATTAAAAGTGTTATTTTAAATATTTGAAAGTTAAATGAGGGTTCAAGTTGGGGTTATTTGCCAGAGTTGATATGGCTGAAGTTAATTCAATTTTCCTTAATGTTAATTCAACTTCACCTTAGTGTTAATTCAACTTCCCTTAGTGTTAATTTTACTTTTCTTAGTGTTAATTTAACTTCACCTTAGTGTTAATTCAACTTCCTCTAGTGTTAATTCAACTTCCTCTAGTGTTAATTCAACTTCCTCTAGTGTTAATTCAACTTCCTCTAGTGTTAATTCAACTTCCTCTAGTGTTAATTCAGTGTTAATTCAACTTCCTCTAGTGTTAAATTCAACTTCCTCTAGTGTTAAGTGTTAATTCAACTTCCTTAGTGTTAATTCAACTTCCTCTTAGTGTTAATTCAACTTCCCTTAGTGTTAAATTCAACTTCTCTTAGTGTTAATTCAACTTCCCCAAGTGTTAATTCAACTTCCTCTAGTGTTAATTCAACTTCCTCTAGTGTTAATTCAACTTCCTCTAGTGTTAATTCAACTTCCCCTAGTGTTAATTCAACTTCCTTTAGTGTTAATTCAACTTCCCCTTAGTGTTAATTCAACTTCCCTTAGTGTTAATTAAACTTCTCATAGTGTTAATTCAACTTCCTTTTGTTGTTAATTCAGCTTTCCTTAGTGTTAATTCAACTTCCCCTTAGTGTTAATTCAACTTCTCTTAGTGTTAATTAAACTTCTCTTAGTGTTAATTCAACTTCTCCTAGTGTTAATTAAACTTCTCTTAGTGTTAATTAAACTTCTCTTAGTGTTAATTCAACTTCTCCTAGTGTTAATTCAACTTCCTCTAGTGTTAATTCAACTTCCCCTAGTGTTAATTCAACTTCTCTTAGAGTTAATTTGGTTCTTCCCACCCACAACTTCAAACTCCTCCGAGAGAAGACCAGTTTTAACAATTTTTGTACATAATTTCATCTTAAAATAACTAAAATAAAGTGTAAAAATAAAACACCTCTGCTTGTTATTCAGCTAGATCACAATAACCCTACAAAGTGTTATCAGTTTACTCTCAAAATGTTAATATAAGTCTTGATTTTCGGGGTTAAACAGAAGCTTTAGTCCAGTGTGACTTAATTAACATTTCCAAAAAAATGCTAAATTAACTCTCGACCAGATTGGACTCACATAAACACTGAGAAAATGTTAAAATTGATTCCGTGAAAGTCAATTTTAGCTCTCAAATTTTTTGCCGTGTACAAACTGTTACTCTCCGTCTGTAGGAGAACACTGAACACAACATTTGGACTGGCCTGGCCCCAGGTTGTTTCAGTCGATAAAAGCCGTGTAAAAGTTCAGGTTAAAGCTCCAGTAGTTTAAAGTGGAGGTCAGCGGTGACAGTCCCCACGGAGACACAGAGCCGAGTGTGTGTTTGCGTCTCCCTCTCTGCACCTCGTCTCATTTTGGACCAGATCAATACGAAGGTTTCAACACAACACAAAACACTATCCATCTGGCATTGTCCGCAGCACAGGGCTGTTTAAGAGTCTGAGAGACACGGCAAGGACCAACCAAAGACGTGTGAAGATATCGGAACCGTGTGAGGAGGAGAGGGAAAAATAGGACCACTAATACAAAAGGTTACCGGTTCAATCCAGGGTCCTGCATGGGTCCATTTTTGGAGACCTGCACCCGCCCGTTTACCCGCGATTATGTCAAAGTTAAACCCTTAACCCGCCCGCATCCGTCAGAATACGAATTGAAAAGTTACGACTTCAGGAATTACAATCACGAAATGAAACGGTTTGGCTTTCTTCAGTACGAACGCGAATTCACAGACGCGACGCGACTGTCAAAAACACGTCATCACTTCACAGGAATTATTTACTGAGCAGAAGAAATGCACATGCCACAGACTGAACCAAGACTAAACTAGGACTAAACCAGGACTAACCCAGGACTGATTCCAGGACTAAACCAAGATGGAACTAGGACTAAACCAGGACTGATTCCAGGACTAAACCAGGATGGAACTAGGACTAAAACAGAACTAAACCAGGACAGAAGTAGGACTAAAACAGGACTAAACCAGGACAGGAACTAGGACTAAACAGAACTAATACAGGACTAAACTAGGACTAACCAAGTACTGATTCAAGGACTAAACTAGGAATGACCCAGAACTAACCCAGGACTGATTCCAGGACGGAACTAGGACTAAACCAGAACTAACCCAGGACTGATTCCAGGATTAAACCCGGTCGGAACTAGGACTAACCCAGGACTGATTCCAGGACTAAACCAGGATGGAACTAGGACTAAAACAGAACTAAACCAGGACAGAAGTAGGACTAAAACAGGACTAAACCAGGACAGAAGTAGGACTAAAACAGGACTAAACCAGGACAGAACTAGGTCTAAAACAGGACTAACCCAGAACTAACCCAGGACTAAACCAGGACTAAAACAGGACTAAAACAGGACGGAACTAGGACTAAACAGAACTAATACAGGACTAAACTAGGACTAACCAAGTACTGATTCAAGGACTAAACTAGGAATGACCCAGAACTAACCCAGGACTGATTCCAGGACTAAACCAGGACTAACCCAGGACTAATCCAGGACTGATTTCAGGATTAAACCAGGACAGAACTGGGACTAAACTATGACTAAACCATAACTAACCCAGGACTGAGTCCAGGATTAAACCAGGATGGAACTAGGACTAAAACAGGACAAACCAGAAGAAAACCGGACCGCGCCGCATGGAGGTAAGCGCCGCCGTGGCCCGATCGCGCTTTGCGGACACCCTGCTCCACGGACTCGGGGTTCTCTCTCTCTCTCTCTCTTAAGTCCAAGATTATTCCTGGTCTAGACCTGGTTTAGTCCTGATTTGGTCCTGACCTGCCTGTGTGTAATCACTACCCCCCCACATACCCGCCCATAAAATTCAGGAGTCTGGTTCAATCCCTGCTTGCTTATTAAATGTGCTGTACAACTAAAGAGTGAATGAATTAAATATTGCTACTGTGTCCTACTTTTCCCACGGTATCTAAGATTATTATTTGATGTGTCTGTCCTGATTTAAAAAACAAATACAATATTGTGACTGACTTTTTAAAAACAACAACAACAACAAAAATTTATATCCAGATATAAATCTAAATTAAAACTAGTACCAAAACTAGATATGAATTGAGAATTGATTAAAAAAATGTTTTTATCATCATTGTACAACCCTTTTCCTCATCAGCACTGAAATTGAGTTTTATTATCATGATGTGTGTGTGTTCTTACCTTGTTCCTCTCAAACAGCTCTGTCTGAATGGCCTTCAGGTCAGAGTCCAGTGCGGAGGCGGCCTGGCGGCGTTTCTTGGTCAGTTGTTCCTCCAGGTCTTCGGTCTGAGCTCGGAGTTTCTTATTGTCGCGTTCCAGGGCCAGTTTCTCCGTCTCCAAACGCTCCCGTCTGCCCCACTCTGCTGCATTCTCCACCTGAAGACGCTCCATCTGATCACACCCAAGACAAGACAGGGACACTTTATTAGAGTGAAATTAGTCCTCTGCATTTGACCCATTCTTCAGTGCTGCTGGGGAAACCTGTCAGGAGCAGGGACCCACCTCCAGATCTCAAACTAGTCTTGGTCAGGACTAGTCGCAAAATTTCTGCAAAAGTTCAGCAAAATTTAATTTCTTTCCAGCGAGTAGGACAGGAATCGGAATACACTAGACGATTCGCAAAAACCCGGGGAGTGCGAGTCGGGGCACCAACCAATCAGCGAAGAGCCATACAATCTGTGTTGGCAACGATTCCCGAGATCGAGGATTTAAAGCCTGAACAAAGAGAATGTTTGTTGAATTTTATCAAGGGGAAAGACATTATTGTCCTTCTTCCTACGGGATTTGGGAAAAGCTTAATATACCAGTTACCCCCCTTAGCGACGCATTATATACGTCTTGACCAAGCCCTGGGTTCCAAAATGGCCACCCATTCAAGTCAATGGGCCGAGCTCAGTGGCGCATGATTCCAGATTTGCCTTTACCCCAGTGAGGTACTTCTGGTGGCTGTGGGCCGACCGAGCATGTGCAGTCGTGCTCTTTTCTCCCGCGGGCACACGCGAATGCACGAACGGAGCGTGGTCTCGTGTATCACATGATCGCTTTGACCAATCAGAGCAAGAGGAGCAGAGAGGAGCTGGAGCGAACGATTATAAAGTGTTTTTTAAGACAACTGAAGGATTTTGAGCTGAGAAAAAGTTTATGGTCTAAAAATAGGTAAAACTTGCCATAAAATCCGACATTTATGAAAGTTGAATGTGCCCTGTCAGCCAAACACGAGCAGTTTATGAATACATTGTGCTCTATGAGAAAAATCTTGTCTTGGCCCATGGGTTTTTTTCCGCTGTAGTACCAGTGAGTGGCCACTACATCAACTGGAGGCAGCTACAAGCTAGCAATACTGTATCCAGTTATTTTAATACATCCATGGTATCGACCAAATAGTGGCGATCAGTTAAATAGAAAAGTACCTGCCTTCTAACACTGCGAGGTCAGACGGTTTCCACAAAGTGAAACTGGCTGATGAATCAAGGTAGGTCAGGACTACCTTAGCTGGATAATTTTACCTACAGTATATGTTTTGGAATAAAGGAGGAGTGCGCAAAAAAGCTAGAAATGGAGAAACATAGAAATTGTGTACAGAACCTTCTTGCTGTGAGGTCAGAGTAGCAGCCATTGAGATATCGTGCGTGTAAATAATATAGCGATTCTGTATTTAATTTGAACAAAATGCTTTAAAGCCATGTTCATCTACAATAATTTTATGGTTTTGAGCTCCAAACAATTGCAATAAGTACCCATTGGAATTGTGGCCAATTCAACAGGAGGCCTGAGGGCCAAAAAATGGGTTTGAGAGCCACATTTGGCAGAGATTCACAGCATAAAAAGTGTTGCCAGAGCGAAATTATATTAATGGTGCATTGTGTAAACCAGGCCAAGTTACTGGTTGGATCTGTAGAGAGCTAACCCCGCTCACAGTCAGAATGCCAGTTTTTCTGAATATTTCAAGCTATAAAACCCACGTGTAATTGAATAAATGTAAAGTTTAATGTCATATTGTGGAGCATTCAAAGCAGAGCAATGACATATCCATAGAAACAAGAAGGCGATGGGCCCCCAACCTGAAAGTTTACGCAGTGCACCTTTAACCTATAGTATATTAGAGTGCATCGGTGTATTAAATTCAAGTTTATTTATAAGCACATTTAAAAAAAACAACTTGTTGTCGTGTTACTGGTGTAGTTGTCGTGTCCTGACCTCTGCTCGTAGCTCGGCCAGTTTCTTGTCCATACTGGAGCGGGCCCCGAGCTCGTCCTCCAGGTCCTCGGACATGCGGCCCAGCTCGTCCTGATGCATCTCCTTCAACAGGTTCAGCTGGAGGAGAGAGAGACAAGTCAACAGAACAGAACCTGCACAGAATTTGTGTATTTTTGACCCAGACAGATGGTAAACGTCACATTATATAGCACCTTTCTACCTTCAAGTGACTCAGAGACAGTATGTGAATGAAAAAACACCCATGTGTGAACTCACCCATTCACACACATATGGATTGTATAAATATAGTTTGCAGCGTCATTACACTGGGGGTGTACAGGCCTTTTTCACAACGGCCGGAAGTGCCGCGATGTAGGATAAACGTCACTTGTGTTAATTTTTTTTTATGGCAAAATATCTGTGGAAATGTCTCGCGTATTTTCCACCAGCTTCATAAATCTGCCTCATCACCAAATCTTCAACCAACAAGGTCGACAAAGGATAAACATGAAGAATTTATCCACAACTATCAAGGTAAGAAAGACGAAAACATAAAGGCGAACAACGACGCTACGTTCAGACTGCAGGGCTTAACGCTCAATTCGGATTTTTTTGTGAAATCCGATGTTTTTGCGAAGTCGTTCACATTTCCAATTAAATGCGACTTGTATGTGATCTTCAGTGTGAACATTAAACGGCCCAAAAGTGTCCCACACGCACACTGGAGACACGACGACGTCAACCGCAGTGAGCGTCTCTGTGTTTACGGAAGTTGTCCAAACATGGACGCGAGCATTGAGCACCTGGAGATTTTAAAGTTCCTCTCGTACCGGAGCCAGAACATGAACAACTTACTTGTTTTAAGGAGGAGATTAAGAAGGAGAAGGACGAGGTTTTTGGCCGTGGCGTTTTGTGGGGCAGTGGCATCGACGTCCGTTGCAAGAAACGTGTGGATGTGGAGACGTAGTCAAGAGTGGTGAGTGGCGATGTTCATTAACAATTTTCGCCTACTTCAGCGCAGAATAGTGACGTTTGTGGCTTGTTGATAAATGTGTAGGTGGATGAATGCGCTTTGGCCGTTCAGACTGAAGTCACATGTCAAAAGATCAGATATGTATCGATTTCAGGACCACATATCCAAGTGTCCTGAGTCGCATTTGAAAAAAATCTGATCTGTGTCGTTCAGACTGTCATTAAAAGATCAGATACAGGTCACATAGAGGCCAAAAAATCGGATTTGGGTCACTTCAGGCTGCAGTCTGAACGTAGCCTCAGTGAACTACTCCTGAGCAAAACTAATGTTATGGTCATGAATAAAACATAAGTAATTTATTAATAAGTATCTTGTTAACTCAGAGTGATTCTAGAATTAAAATAAACAATTTCATGATGTAGATATTGGCATTGATAGAGATTTATGCAGTTTGAATGCTACAGATGTTTACAGATCACATGTTTAGCATTTAAACTGCACAAATCTCTGTCTATGTGAATATCTACATCATGAAATAGATTTTTTAGTTTAATTCTAGAATCAGTTTGAGTGAACAAGTTACTAAATATACGAGATTAATCATGTAGCTACCGTGGTTTTCTTCACAAAAAGGACTTCACGCTCCGTACTGAATATTTATTCTTAGTAATCTTCAACTCCATCAGCACATTGAAACACAGTGAAAACTAAAATCAGGACAGACACAGAAAAAGGCTTAGCTTTGCATAAATACCTTTAAATGAATGCATTGAAACTGAATTGAAAGCAATATTTACTGTGTTTGCCTACACATCACCAGTGGTAGTTAATTAGCGTTTCTTTAATTTTGATGTGTTTTTCTTTACACATTTTTCTGTGTTTCTATCGTCTTTTTCTCTCTTTTGCGGCTATTATTTTCTCACTCTGTTCAGTTCTGGGGCAAGGTAAAAGGTCACTAACTTAAAGGTAAACATTTTCACAAATAAAATATGGAAATTAATAACTGTGGTAATCTGACACATCTTAAATACTTGAACAAATAACGATTTTCTGACTTATTACCATGAAAACAGCTACAAAACATGTGTGAATGAAACAAAACACAACTCGTGGTTTGTTTGTGATGAGGAAACAATATTATAACATGCTCTAGATCAGAAAACAGCGTCATATGAGTCCTTTAAGAGAGCAGGTTACATACAGCGCCTTGAATTTTCTGTTTATTGCCAGGGCTATCCCAAAGTCGTAACTCCTTTGACCTATAATTCAACTCTATCTCACATCTCTGCCTGTAATTGCTTGACATTTCCCTGTGACTTGGACGGCTACGGAGATATTTCTAAACCTTCCTGTGATCTGTGGTATCAGGGTCCAGATAAAGACGCCCTCCCGTCCTATGTGTCTGCGTGTCCTGTTATCCAATGGCACCATCTCCTCGTCCGGCTCGAATCTATCAGAACCGAAACAAATCGCGTTTTGATCTCCGCTTTTGCGCCTGGTTTATCTCAAAATGCCGTTCTGCTGGTATCTCTCTGACCCACTGCCCTTTGCTTTCATTTGGTCTAATCTGATCAAACACTGTAATAAATGTGGGCTTCTGTTTCAGGGGGAGGAACATGTAAAGGGCGTTTTCACAAAGCAGCACTGCCCCCTGGTGGACAAACAAGGGAAGGGCAACAGCGACACTGAGATTGGCTGCATTTCATTAAAATTACAACCAAAATATACACACATTTCCCCTCATTTTATGAAATATAGATAATTATGAATTTATTTAATGTAGTTTTAATTCTATGATATATTATTATTGTATTGTATTGATAAAGATTAAAGCTATACAAGTTATTCTTAGAAACAAGTTGATATAATCCTTCATTTAACCACAATTGGATCATAATAGAAAAGGTTTCAAAGGTTCAGGAAATGGTCCAGCTATAACCTCGGTATTGGTACCTCCTTAAATGATTATCAGGATTCCACATGAGTTTTAGTATCAATAAGCACCTGAGTACAGATTTTTGGACAACCCCACACAATACTCGTTGTAATCCAATTATTTCTTATTTATTTATTTGTAAAGGGACAGCACATAGTAATGAACATTTAAAATGTAAATATGTAAAGATTATAGCCAGTGTGGCCAATTTCCATGTTCAGTCCCTCAGCAGGTTGATGTGAAAAGATCTACAGGACACGGAAAAGTACAGCAACAATCACACAAAAGTACATAACACCAGCACACTCACTGGACACTCACTAGGGGTGTGCAAAAATATCTATATATCGTATCGTTTAATGCACAGGTGTCAAACATAAGGCCCGGGGGCCAGATCCGGCCCTCCAAGACCTTTAATGTGGCCCTCGGCTGATTTTCTACTAAAATATTTTAATTATATTTTCTATTAAAATATTGTTAATTTTCAGCATCTCCAGCGTCTCTGTACGTGGCCCCTCCCACCAGAGCAGCACAAATGAAGACTTGTCTCTTTCCAAACGCTCTTAAAGGACGATCGTTTTGACCGTGACACCCTCATCAGAAAAATGTCCAACATGAGAAAATTTCATGTTAAAACATTGTGTTGAAATTGCATTTATCTTAAAGTTTCAGGTTTGTTCATAATATTATAATATTTTGTAAAAGAAACAGTTCATCAGTTAAAAAAGATTTCTGTAATAGATTTGTGTTTCTCTGCACAACTATTTGAACTTATTGCTGTTTTTGGGGTTTATATGACATGAGTTTTCTGATCCGGCCCCTTTCGGATCAAAGTAGGTTGGATTCGGCCAGCGGACCAAAATGAGTTTGACACCTCTGGTTTAATGTGATGATACAGTATCGATATCGTGGGCTACTGTATCGATATATCACCAAGAGTATTTTTCGTGTGTTTTACTAAATTATTTTGTTACAGCGCTACAGTTTTGTTGCTTGTGGAGTGAAAGGAAACTCATTTATGCAACACATTTGACATTTTGCCACTGTTTTGAGGATTAAAATGTTTGTGTTTCATATGAACTTTGCACAAGAAGTGGTTTAACAAACACTTTTAGTATCACAGCCATGATTTTGCCTTTATTTTTTTATTGAACTGTACTGAATCGATTTGAAATATATCATATCGAATCGAAAGTGCACTGTATCGAGATTTGTATCGTATCGTGGCCTGTGTATCGAGGTGTGTATCGTATCGGCAACTTCTTAATGATACCCAGCCCTAACACTCACTATACATACAGCTAATTTCTAACAGTTAAGATACACATGCATTTATGAAATTAAACATCAAGTTGTATTTCACTCTCACTTTAAGAAAATGTTTAAGAAATATATTGGAAATTGTATATTATTATATTTAGTCACTAGTTATGCATTGCAATTTATTGGATATATTATAGTTGTAGTAGTGTACTGTAGTGTAGTATACTATGGAACAGGACTGTATGAACTTATGTGTGAACTTTTTTGTTATTATAATGGAACATTTTATTGTAAATTATGCCAACATGGACCCCAGGAAGAATAGTCTTTATCCCAGAAAAGATTAATGGGGATCCAATAAATAAACAAACACTATAACTACATAAAACTGCAACAGTGAGCTGCAGCAAAACCTGAATTTCTGTCGGGATCAATAAAGTTTCTCTATATATTTGTTTAATAAGTTACATCTGAACAACTACAACTACGCCACATATTGATTTTCTGAAGAACTGCAGTAACCTGTCGCCCTGTATGTGTTGATTTACTACAGCTTTAACCTGTTCCTTTTCAAGACACTTTCTGTGCAACTCAAGCGTGACCTCCATGTCTATGCTTTTAGCCTTATAAAACTCTTTTTATCATCTCAACTGTTCTATAAATGCCTCTTGGTGCTGTTTCACATGTTTCAGTGCCGCTTGCCTAGTCCTGAGAGTGAATATACAAGGTACAGAGGAAGGACAGTGAATATATTGGTACAGAGGAGGAACAGTCCTGCTTGTATCTCACCTGTTTCAGTGCCTCCTGCTTGCTTTTGCTCAGCTCTTCGTATTTGAGTTTCCACTGACTGAGCTCAGCCTCCAGTCGCTCGATGCTTTTACTCAGAGCCAGTTTGTCTCTGGGGAACAAACAGAAACATAACACAATATTACACACGTTTATCATTCTGGGTCTAGAGGAGCTACAGTAAACAAGAGGCATTCAGCCCTGAGCCTGTGAGTCCACTGTTAAGGTACATTTAACTGTCCCTCTAGGTAAATTTGTCTTACACATTTGACCCATCTTTCAGTGCCGCTCGGCCAGCAGGGGACCCATCTACAGATCTCGAGCTAATTTTGGTCAGGACTTTTTTTGCTAGAAGATTTTACCTATGGAACATGTTTTGGGTTGATGGAAGCCAAACCAACCAGAAGCAGGGAGAAACATGCAAACTACACACAGAAGGTGGGAGTTGAACCTGGAACCTTCTTGCTGTGAGGTGATGGGGCCAGCCACTCATCAGTCATGCAGTCAGGAGAGTGTGCATTGACTTGAGCGTGGCAGTTTAAATAAAGCTCAGATCAAAGCCTGCCGTCAGCTTTTACCAAGACAAATAGTGTAGTGCAATCAGTTTGAGATCTGAAATTATATTGTTGGATTGTGTCGATTTTAAAAACACAGAGGAGCAAAACTTCATGACATCAGCAAGTGGAACAGTGTGAGTGTTTTGAAGGTTGGACTTTGGATGAGGGAACATATTTACAAAAGACCATCAATCAGTTGGGTCAAATACAGGACTTTTAATCCATCCATCCATTTTTTTCCGCTTATCCAGGACCGGGTCGCAGGGGCAGCAGTCTGAGCAGGGACTCTTAAACTTCCTTCACCCTGGACACTTCCTCCAGCTCCTCCGAGGGGACCCCAAGGTGTTCCCAGGCCAGCCAAGAGACATAGTCCCTCCAGCGTGTCCTGGGTCTTCTCCGGGGCCTCCTTCCAGTGGGACATTTCCAGAACACCTCCCGAGAGAGTCGCCCACGAGGCATCTGGGACAAAGCCTCAGCTGTTCCTCTTGACGTGGAGGAGCAGCGTGTCTACTCCGAGCGCCCAGCCACCCTGCAGAGGATGCTCATTTCGGCCATTTGTATCCGCGATCTTTTCGTTTTGACCATAGGTGAGGGTAGGAACGTAGATTGACGTAGATCGAACTTTTAAGAAAACTCGTATTTCTTTCCACATTTCAGCCAAAATGACACTAAAACTGTTCAGGAAAACTCACATTTTGTACTGTTAAATTGTGCATTGTGTAACTTTTCTGGTGAAGGGCCTGTCAAATACTTTTCTTTATGGACATGTTACTGCTTTGTCTGGAATGTTTCACAGTATGGCACTAAACCTTTCTATCTTCATGGAGATCAAACCAGATATTACAGGTTAGATCTATGGAAAGGTGACCCTGCTCTAAGTCAGAATGTTGTTTTTCTAGGTATTTTTGAGCTATAAAACCACTTGTAATTGAATAAATGTAAGGTAAAGCCGTTTAATGTCACACTGTGGAACATTTCAGGCAGAGCAATGACATATCCATAGAAAAACATGAACTATCCTGTGGCGGCTCATTTTGTTGATTTTAACCATCCCATCTCTTCCTTAAGATATATTGGCATTGAACATGTGGAACTGCCCCCTAGAGGTGGTAATCTAGAGATGCTCCAGTCCAAAAGAGACACTTCTGGATTCACCATCTTAAAACTCTTACTCCTCATGGACTGAATGTGGAGTTTGATTTAAGATGTTTTTTGTGATAGACAAACTATTTCTGTATTTTATAAAATGTTTTTTTTATGTAAATTGTTGTTTCTTGTTGTAGAATGGGCTGAACTCACTGGGTGACCTCACTTTGGGACCTCCCATTCATTGAGTGGGTATTTTGTGTGCTGTGGTCCAAGACAAGAAAAATATCTGATGAAGGCTTTTTTTGGCGAAACGTTATTTTGTTAATAAAATAGTATTTGGACATCGGCCAACCGAGTGTGCGATGCATTTTTTCACCCTGATCTGGCTACTCCTTGCATTTGCACCTCTGCAGGAATCTTGGTGTGCGTTTTATGTTTCTTTTTATTTCTTTATATCCATAGAAACAAACCTCAAATGAGTATCTAGCTTCAATATTAGTTTTAGTATTGATTTGTATCTGATTTTTGATATTTTTGACAACGATAAAAGTAAATTTAAGAGAACAGTCTCCCGCTCTCATGACTCACTCTCTCTCCTTGAGCAGGACTTTCTGGGACTCGTCCAGTCGGAGCTGCAGAGCGTTGAGTTTGCTCTGGTCTTCTTCTGTGGTGCTGAGCTCGTCCCACAGCTGTCGACTGCGCTCCTGTCTGTTCGACGGCGGACGCGACGAGCCCGATTTGTCCCACGACTCCTGAGCGTCGCCCCCTGGAGGACCGGAGCGCAACACCGTCTCCAGTATTTCCATGTCCTGAGAAGGTAAGAAACAGGGTTATATATTTAATATACTAATACAAATACTGCTTATACGGGCGGAACAGATTATTCCTGAAAACTACTAAAATTCAACATTCAAGAACTCATCTTTGAGTCCTTTTATGGTAGTGGCAAAGGGAAATTTATTTGTAAGATGCAAGAAAGAGTTGTCCATGTCATAGTAGTACTATTAGTAATTAGCCGAGATGGGACCAAGTCGTTGTTTCAAAGTCTCAATTCTTTGACCTCAAGTTCATGTCAAGCCCCAAGTCAAATACAGGCAAGTCCAAGTCAAGTCTCGAGTCACTGGCCCATAAGTCCAAGTCAAGTCAAGTCCAAGTCAAATCCAAGTCAAATCCAAGTCAAATCCAAGTCAAATCCAAGTCGTCTGCTTTGAGCTTCAAGTCGTTTTCAAGTCCCAAAGTATCAAATATTGCTTTGATTTCTGCAATTTATATGAATTTTAAACTAAATTGTAAAAACTTGTGGTATATATAAATATATTTTTATTTATTTATTGTGCTGTAGAAATGCTATGTTTTCTTTTTTAAATGTCTTGACAAGATCTTGGTGTGAATCATTACAGTCAGAATAGAAAAAAATAAATAAATCAAGATTTTAGAGTGTTTCATAAGTTATTTTGTCATGTAGTCTGCACTGAAATGGAAGGATCATGTTCCATGTAGTTCCCTCTGTTGTATTGTACTGTTTATTACTATAGTACTTTTGAGGATACCACATCACAGTACTTCTCTGCAAAGAGAAAAGTATTTTCTAAAAACATTTATATGTGTGAGGAGCAGCATCAAGTCTTCTCGAGTCACAGGGCTCCAGTCCAAGTCCACCAAAAAGTGCGATTTATAGTCCAGTGCAACTTATACATGTTTTTTTCATTTTGCATTTTTTGGTTGGTGCGGCTTGTAGTCTGGAGCAACTTATAGTCCAAAAAATACGGTAAGTACAGAGCTGTGGGCGGGGACAGGGGGTAGAGGAAACTGAGATTTTCTAAGCACTCAAACCTCAAACGCGGGACAATACAGGATGACTCAAACCTGCAGGAATCAATGGAACCAAAACTCTCAGGAAGCAACATTAACACATGGTAAATCAGATTAAACATAATATTTCCCCTGTAAAGATTAAAGCATTTCCAGTATGTCTAAAAGTCAATGAAAATCCCCCATGTCTGATATTCATATGAGAGCGAATACTTGAAACTTTGCCAAAACACAACCACACCGGGGCAGATTTCCCACAATCCCCTCTGTTCTCTAAAGCTTTAAATCAAACCACTTTTCAAATTTGTGCCAATCTGTTGTCAGTGTCTCTCCGAACCTCAAACGGTATTTTCAAATTTACACATTTTTGGTAATTTCTTTTACAGCAGCAGATTGAAAACACTGAAAGTCCCAGTTCTCTCCGAGCTACAGCAAATATGTATTTTTGGCCAAACATCAGAGAATTCTAAGCACATCCGCACCCAAAATCTTGTGTTTTTCTTGCCAATATTTTGATTTGATCCTCCGTCTCCCACTGGCTGAATAATTTGCCGTGTTGTTTTAAGATATTCAATGCGCTGCCTTTCTTTGGGATTTCCTCATAAAAACACAGGAATTTGAAACAGGGAAATTTGTGGTTACTCTACAAAATGTGATGGACCCAGCGAGGTTTTTAACTGTAGAGGCGTGTGTGCAGTTCTGAGCCAAACACAGATGTTTTACGCATTATGAGGCATATAAACTTTAATATCCTTCATGGTTCAAGGTTTATGATTTGGGATTGTCAGAAACTTCTTCATAAATGTTGGATGGTGCTTATAGATTTTTATAATAATCATTTTTAGTCGTAGTTTTTCAAAAGGTTTGGCTTTAAAAGGTGCATCGTGTAACTTTTCAGGTAGAGATTTCGCCACCTGCTTGTCTCCACTGATGTTACAGCTTGCCTGGAATGTTCCACAGTATGGCTTTTAACATTTCTATCTCCATGGAGACAAGCAGGTGAGATTTATGGAGAGGTGGAGTCGCTCAAAGTAAGAATACATAACTTTCAGGACATCCTTTGAGCAATAATTAAAAAAAAAATGAAATGTAAAATATGTAAGACAGATGACATTCCCAGCCTGATTCATCAGTCAGTTTAACTTTATGGAAACCGTCTGACCTCGCAGCATTAGGACGCCTTTGCTGGACAGTAGGCAGGTACTTTTATTTACTTTTACTATTATACTTTTATTTAACCAATCACTGCCATTTGGTCGTGACGTATGTAATGTGCCAAATCCTGTAGGAAGAAGGACAATAACGTCTTTCCTCTTGGTAAAATTCATCAAACATTCTCTTTGTTCCTGCTTTGAATCCTCGATCTCGGGAATTGTCGCCAACACAGAATGTCTGTCTTCGTTTACATCCATCGCGACCGTTTTGTTTACTGTTGTGTTGTACCACAAAAGGGACCCAGACAGACGCTTGAGTTTGACATCGTGGCTTCACAGCTCTTGTCTGATTGGTCGGTGCGCGGTCTACAACTTCTGGAGTTCTTGCAAACCGTCTAGAGTATTCTGATTCCTGATCTAGTCGCTGGAGAGAAATGAAACTGAGTGGAGGCACTAGGTGGCACCAGCCTGGCTAAAAACCTGCATAGACATAACGCAGGGGTGGGCCAACTTTTTGACTCATGGGCCACAAAGGGCTCTAAAATTTGATGAAAGGGCCAAACCAGGAGCAAATGCATGGAGTTTTTTTGTAATCCACCTCATAAGAGAAAAAAATACCCCATGTTATTGAAATATCCCATATTTAAACATCATTACAAAGCATTACATCAAAATATCTGTCTTTCAAGTCCCACAATATTTACTATTTATTGAAATAACTTTTAAAACACTGAAAATATTATTATTATTTAAGTTCAGGGGGCCGGATTAAAAAGATTAAAGGGCCGCATATGGCCCCCGGGCCTTAGTTTGCCCACCCCTGACATAAGGAGATGATGGACCCTTAACAAAATGGTTATGTTGTGCGTTTTTTTAATATTCCTTATAAATATCAATAACATTTAATCAAAACGGAACTCAAAACCACTGCAAGATATAAAGAGAGTTTGGTGCAAAATCAATTATTGCCCACTGTTGCTACAATCATTACTGTGACAAAGTGCACAGGGAGTAAGCTTTCACCCTCAAACCAGAAGATTGCAGGTTATAACGCCTTCACCTGCCTTCCCTATTTATGAATGTGTAGGAGAAATTGTTGCAACTAATTTAAGTCCAGACACTTGCACCACTGTGAAATTTTAAAGAAACAACCTATTTAACTTTGAAAATTTTTACCAATTTTGATAATGTTATGTTATTTTTTAAGTGTCTTAACTCTGATGTACCACTGAATTCAGAATTCACTGCAAAAACTAAAATCTAGTTAAGTTAAGATGACTTGATTTAAAGTTCTATCAAGATTTGAGCACATTTCACTTGACAAGTAAAATTATCAACCAGTGGAACAAGACTTTTTGTACGTAAAATATGAAACTACATCTTGCTACACTTAAAATAAGAAAAACAACAACTCTTTGCACTTAAAATAAGAAATGAAATGTAATATTGCTTCAATCAAGAAAAACACACTTATTCCATTGGTAGATAATTTTACGTGCCACATTCAATCGACTCAAATAAAGTAAAAAGTTCTTAATTTAAGCCATTTTAACTTACCTAGATATTAGTTCTTGGAGGGTAAAATGTACAAACAGAGTTAATACAAGAGGTGCTACTAGTGGTACTTGTGATGTCACTATGTACAGGAAACTCTTGGTCAGTCTCTTTCTCTGCCAAAGGGGCCAGATTGTAGAAGTGTTTACCAGATGATTTAAAACTGGAAACCAATCGCAACAAAGTCCAAGTCAAGTCTCGAGTCACTGGTCCATAAATCCAAGTCAGGTCCAAGTTGTCGGCTTTGAGCCTTTAAAACACAGGTGTCAAACATAAGGCCCGGGGGCCGGATCCGGCCCTCCAAGACCTTTAATGTGGCCCTTGGCTGATTTTCTACTAAAATATTTTAATTGTATTTTCTCTTAAAATATTGGTAATTTTCTGTGGTGCTTAGCATAACAGCGTCTCCAACGTCTCTGTACGTGGCCCCTCCCACCAGAGCAGCACAAATGAAGACTTGTCTCTTTCCAAACGCTCTTAAAGGACGATCGTTTTGACTGTTGACCGTGACACCCTCATCAACAAAATGTCCAACATGAGAAAAGTGGAGCCGAGTGCAGGATTTTCCAAGAAAAATTTACTTATTCCTATTTGAATACAAGTTCATGTTAAAACATTGTGTTGAAATTGCATTTATCTTAAAGTTTCAGGTTTGTACATAATATTATAATATTTTGTAAAAGAAACAGTTCATCAGTTAAAAAAGATTTCTGTAATAGATTTGGGTTTTTCTGCACAAATATTTGATCTTATTGTTATTTTTGGGGTTTATATGACATGAGTTTTCTGATCCGGCCCCTTTGGGATCAAAGTCGGTTGGATTCGGCCCCCGGACCAAAATGAGTTTGACACCCCTGCTTTAAAACAAATAGCTTATATTTTTGCAATTTATGTAACTTTTGAGACAAACTGTACTTTTTAAACATCTTGACAAGATCTTAGTGTGAATTACAGTCAGAATAGAAAGAATTCAGATTTAAAAGTGCTTCTCAAGTCACAGGCATCAAAGTCAGAGTCAAGTCCCAAGTCACTGACCTTCAAGTCCAAGTCAAGTCCAAAGTCTTAGTCCATTTTATCAAGTCAAGTCTCAAGTCCTAAAAAGAGTGACTCGACTATAAAACTATAAGACCACAAAGCTATTAAGAAACAATAAGTGACTATGACTAATGCTAAAATAAATCGACAATAATAAACAGCAGGTTAAATCTACAATACACGCTGTAAATAATCCAAAATACACGTTGTCATTAGAGCCGGTGACCAACAGAGGGCGCCACGGCACAGCAGGT